GGCTAGGGTTAGAACAAGGGATAAGATTAGGGTTAGGGTATCAATTAGGTTAGGTTAGTGTTAGGGTTCGGGTTAGGGTTAGGGTTAGGTTAGGGTTAGAGTTAAGGTTAGGGTAGGGTTAAGGTTAGGGTTTTAGGGTGAGGGTTAGGGTTAGGGATTTAGGGTTAGCATTAGGGTTTTAGGGTGAGGGTTAGGGTTAGGGTCACGGTCGGGGTCGGGGTCACAGTAGGGGTCAGGGTTAAGGAAGGGTTAGGGTTAGGGGTTAGGGTTTAGGGTCAGGGTCAGGGTCAGGGGTTAGGGTTAGGGGTTAGGGTTAGGGTTGGGGTTGGGGTTTGGGTTGGGGTCGGGGTTAGAGTTAGAGTTAGGGTTAGGGGTTAGGGTTATGGGTTATGGGTTAGGGTCAGGGTCAGGGTTAGTGTCAGGGTTTAGGGTCAGGGTCAGGATCAGGGTCAGGAACTGATTTTTAAATGGCATATTCAAGTACGAGATGTCATCCAGGATTCTGTATATAAATGTCATGTTCTCAAAAGGAAAACTAATAACATACACTATAAAACATAGTAAGGGAATGTACCTATAATCAAATCAGATGATAAAATAAGTAAATAATAAAGGCCTGCAACAGCCTTCAGAAGTGATTGTGGCATACCAATGGATAGTAACACAAAGCTGAAAGCCAACAGTACATAAAAGTAAAACTTCTACCTCACACATGGTTTCTACTGCTGGAAAAATGGCCAGCCCCTCCCATATACAGAATAAATCAATGCTGCTTAAAATAACAATCAAGAGGGAACACTCTCTTTTGAGATAAGGTTTCATCTGTCCTAGACTTGCTATGTATCCAAGGAAGACCTTGAACTTCTAATCCTCCTGCCTCCACTGCCTGAGTACTGGGATTATAGGCATGCACCACCACGACCAGTTAATGAGGTGCCGGGGATCAAACCCAGAGCTAGATGCATGCTAGGCAAGCACACTACCTACTGAGCTATATCTCCCTTTTGCTTTGTCTAATTTTACTCACTCCAATCAAGCTTC